TCCTTCCGGTTGTTTTAAGAAAACAAATTCAAGTTTCATTTTGCTAAGTTTTCTTTGTTTCATGGTTATTTTTATTAAACATAAATCCACCAGAGCTTCAACCCCTTATTTTGTGTTGTTTAGATTTTTTTCTGGAAAAAACTACCGCCAACACGAAATATTATTTTTTTTCTTTCATTTTCCTTCTTTATTTGCTTTATTTCCTCGTCTCTCTTTGTTTAAAGTCAATACACCAACCGCGCTTGTCTCAGACCGCCATCTTGGCATTCTCATTGAAATATGAAAAATAAAAGCAAAAATAATTCGTTTTTTTTTTTTAATTGAGATTCTTTATTATTGATTCGGACATCCGCTGTAATTTTTATTTTTGGTAAAAAAAAAGGATGGACGGAAAGAAAGAAAAACAGAAAAGAAAAAGAGAATTGAATAAAAAAAAGTACTTTAAATTATATAACATTCAAAATCTCATAGACTAATCGATTAATCATAGACTAATCGATATATTTGTATGTTGACGTTCACGGAATCTTTCTTAATTTTAGTTGCTTTTATTAAAACGACTATGGTATGCATTATAAATGAGACTCCTGATATCAACAAAAAGTTGAAACAATAATCTTTGCTGAACGTTGAGGGAAATCTGACAAGTTCTCGGTTTGACCAGATTAAAAAAAAAAGCTGAGAGGCTTACGGCCATATCACGTTGAAACGGCGCTTCCCTTTCGAAGTTAAGTAACGCCGAGCCTGATCACCACTCTGATGGTTGACCGCTTGGGAATAGCAGCTGCTGTCAGCTTCAACGTTATATAAATTAAGATCAATTTTAAGTACGGTTTGCTTTAATAATTGTCTAATATTTTCTACCCAACAGATCTCAGCAAGTATAGATATACATGGTGCTCTAAGCTTGGATGCACGGGTTTTGTACTGGATATTGGCTCGGAATCGTTAATCGGAGAGCCGATATTCAATTCCAGTTGGATTCATTTTATTCACTTACGTGCAAATACCCTTGGGAATATTGCTATTATTTAATTAGACTTGTGTCTCTAAATTATTATTATCTCAAAGAAAATTCTTCACTATTTACATTATTCGGACTATTGTACTCATATTTATCACCATATTTATTACAACGTTTCGGCCGTTGTACGCTCCGGCCTTCTTCAGGTGGTTGGAATGTCGAACTGAACCCTTTATTTCGCTCACTGGGGTAGATTGTTCTAGTTCCACGTCCCATGTTTAATGGATGTCAGTTATCAGTTATCTCCTGTTAATTCCCCTCTTCAAGTTCTCCACCGCCTTAACCAGGTATTGAACTCAAACTCTTTGTGTCCTGTCACTGGATATAACTAACGCCTTTACCCACTGTGCCATATGTCCTTGACAGATACTGAAGAAAATTCTTGGACTATAAAAATATTTTCTAGCTTTAAATAACCTGCAAGTGTTGATAAACCGTAAAAATGGAAGGATTTTTTTTATCAATTTGCACCATTATTACCATATACGTTCTCTGCAGTTTTTGCTTATCCTTAAATTAGTGATCTTCAAGTCCTAAAGCGCATTGGTGTAGCGAATGATGCCTTTCAAAAGCTGAGCAATGTATTAAGAAACAAAGAAACGAGTACTGAACTGTTATGTATTATCAGTCCTCCTAAATAACAGCGAATGCTAGACAATCGCCTCACAGATTAAGAAGAGACATGAGGCAAAAGAAATGTGGTTCTACAGAAGGATTCTGAGAATACCATGAAAAGAATATGTGAGCAACTATGAAGTTCTAGAGACAATATCAACAAAAAGGTTACTTATGATTAACATCAGGAGGAGACAGTTGAAATTTCTTGCACACATAATGTGGAAGGAGGGCTTAGAAAATCTGTTATTCACAGGACAGATTGTGGGTAAGAAAAAAACATCACGTAACAAACTTGACGAGCTTGAGAAAATAGATGGCGGAAAAAGGGTTTAGTAACAAAGAAGAAACGGAATTTATTTAGAGCTGCAAAGGACAAGAAATTGTGGAGAGCCACGATCGCCTATGTCCTTAAGGAACACGGCATATAAAAAAGAAGAAATTAATGTGGGATTGGAAAACTTAATATTCATTGGATAGATGGAAGGTAAGAGAGACAGGGGAAAACAAGGGATGGCGACTTGGCAAGCTTGAGCGAATCGATGGCGGAGCAGAGTTTAGGAAAGACGGCCAAAAGACAAAACAGCCTGAAGGGACACGACACACAGAAAAAGAAATATATTTTTTTTATAATCTTGTCAGTATTGTTCTCTCATCTGCCTTTCTTTTAATTTAATAAATGAATTGTTTTTAACATTTTCAGTTTGGTCTGATTTGTTTTGCTTTAGGGCATATCAACCACAATGGGTTATTTAATGCCGACGGTTTTTATTGCTGACAATATATATATATATATATATATATATATATATATATATATATATATATATATATATATATTCAAAAATGTACAGCTTGTAATTTTTTTTTAAATGTATAGCTGGTCATATTTTTTTCGAAAATTTATTGCTGGTAATAATTTCTCTTTAAAATATTATGGCTGGTAATAATTTTTTACGAAGTATTTCTGGTATAAAAACCTACTTTTACACTTTCATAGTGTTTGACCTCAGTTGAGGGGATTAACTATTTATCCATAGCTGGGGCCCTAACAAGTGCTACCACCTCGGGTCAGGGTGGACCTGTGAACACCAGCAATTCAGAGATGGTTCCACGATCCTCAAAACCTCCTGATCAGAGGCCTTGCTGTTGGACGTAGTTTATTGTCTTACCCAGGACGCGGATGTAGCCTATCGTCGTAGACAGAACAGTAACATTTTCGTTATTAACTCTACAGAAAAAATGTCGAAATTCAGTTTTATTTATTTTAGGTTGATTAAATTTCTAAAATACCTTCATAATAAAATTAGTGATCGTTTATTAGGTAATAGGTGTCAAGAGAAGAAAACATCCTTTTTTTGTCTAGACCTCCTCATCAGATCCGTTTCGGTGTGAATGCACATTACAAATCAGTGTGATGACTCATCTTCGGCACACTTGCAGGTTTCCAAGCACGACCGTCTACTCAGGTCTATTTTGTGTTTATTCAGTACCCATATGTGTTGGCACTTTGACCTGCAACCTTGTCTCTCTAGATCAATTACGACTGAGTAGTGAGTTCGATTCTCATTGAGTGCCCCATACTTTCGGCCTTGTGCCACATCTAAGCTACGTTTAGAAAATCACTCGAGCACTTCGACGTGGTGTCATGATTAGCAAGCTTGTCTCGCTAGACCACACACGACTGAACAGTGAGTTTGATCCTCACTGGGTACCCCATACTTTCGCCCTTGTGCTACATCTAAGCGATGTTTACAAAACCGCGGACACTTCAACGCAGTGCAACGGTTAGCAAGCTTGTCTAGCGAGATTAATCAAGATGCCTTGTGAATCAATCACGACTGATTAGTGAGTTGGATCCTCACTAGGTGCCCCTTACTTTCGGCCTTGTGCCACATCTAAGCTACGCTTAGAAAATTACACGGGCACTTCGACGTGGATTGATGATTAGCAAGCTTGTCTCGCTAGATCAAATACGACTGAATAGTGAGTTTGATCCACACTGGGTGCCCCATACTTTTGGCCTTGTGCCACATCTAAATTATGCTTAGAAAATCAAATGAGGCACTTCGACTTGCTGTAACGATTTGCTAGCTTGTCTCGCTAGAACAATTACGACTGAAGAGTGAGTTTGGTTCTCATTGAGTGCCCCATACTTTCGGCCTTGTACCACATCTAAGTTACGCTTAGAAAATCACTCGGGAACTTCGACGTGGTGTCATGATTAGCAAGCTTGTCTCATTAGATCAGTTACGACTGGATAGTGAGTTCGATCCTCACTGGGTGCTCCATAGTTTCGGCCTTGTGCCACATTTAAGCTACACTTAGAAAATTACACGGGATCTTCGACGTGCTGTAATAATTAACAAGCTAGTCTCGCTAGATCAATTACGACCGAATAGTGAGTTCGATCCTTACTAGGTGCTACATAATTTCGGCCTTGTGCCATATTTAAGCTACGTTTAGAAAATCATTCGGGCGTTTCGACGTGATGCCATGATTAACAAGCTTGTCTCGCTAGATCAGTTACGACTAAAGAGTCAGTTCGAATCACACTGGGTGCTCCATAGTTTCGGCCTTGTGTCACATCTAAGCTACGCTTAAAAAATCACCATAGCCAACTTGTGATTTATGGTGCAACTATGCTTAGTAAATCTTAATTACATTTCGAGTTGTTACAGAAAACGAAGGTCAGCGATTGGTTGGAATGCCTCGTGGGCGTGATATTCTGACAGTAATTGGTTGTCTTTGTCTGGGTTTTGAATATAATCCCAAAACGGCACGAATTCAATAGATGTCCCCTATGAATTTTGAAACATCGATACGCTTCCCACCTCCAGGTTTAGAGACCGGCTAAGAATCACCGCGGAGGGACGCTGAGCCAACATGCGACAGGCGTTCCCTTGACGTTATTCCAACCGCTGCCCCCTAGAATCTAAGTTGCCATGTCTGCTCCGCCTCCTCTAATAAAAATGAAAAAAGAAATCTTACTTTTCGTTGATACCATTTTATGTAGTAGCGTTGTAACCCAGAGCCGAAACATAACGCAACAATTTATATATCCTGCTAGGATCATTTACTCTTTTGAATTTCTTATATGCTGACGTCAAACCAGGGTTAGAGAGCCCAGTCTGTCCTTCTAGTTAAACCACAGCTAGGAGTGGGGAGATTTTCCTATGGTTATTTATACGTAAGTGAATATAACGATTTCCACCAGGATTCGAACTCGACTCGCCGATTTCTCGTTAAAAACCTCTAACCGTTACGCCACCTGCATATTTTGCCAGGTCCTAATTATGCAAAAACAACAAAAAAAACTGATGTTTAGTTATTTGAATGGATTTTAGAAAGTGAAATGTCACATTGAAACGCAAGTTCTCGTCCGATTACCGAAGTTAAGTAACGTTGAGCCTGATTCAGTACTCAGGTGGGTGACCGCTGGAGAATACCGAGTGCTGTAAGCTGGCTGACAATCCTCGCAGACGAGCCGGCGATAGATATAATCTCAATGTTTATACTAATAGAAAGGGTGCAGGACACCTCATCGCTATCAACTCAATGCCGCCGACTCAACACCTTCGACTAAACAACATTTTTTCGTCGATTTTTTTAAAAACAAGTAATTTCTTAAGGGTCAGTTTTAAATATAACTTTTAAAAACTAAATAAAATTAATTTATTAAGTATCATTTTTACAACATAACTGTTTTCTTTTACTAAATTTATCAACTACAAATAAATGGCCTTCATGTGCACATTTTTGATTTCCTCTTTGACTAAGGATCTTTGGTGTGATGAAAAGTTTGAAAATTAAACACCAGACAGACAAATAGATTGTTGTAACTAACAAATCACTAAAACAAACAGCCAAAATTTGAAAATCTCTTCGACTCAAAGACGATCTAGCGGATGTGTACACTATGACAGCCAACACCAGTTAGTCGGTAATGAGTCGGTGGTAATGAAATGTCCCCTCCAGTTATAAAAGCCTTCGATAGGTGGTGGTGCCTCTGGGCTGACAGGTCGTAAGATAGGATTTGGAATAGTAAATGAGTCAAATTGAAAATTTTTCCTCACGCTCTTTCTAATCGAATCTTCTCTTTCAAAAATGATGATTTTCTAAGGGAAGCTTATATGTGGCACAAGGCCGAAATTTTGGGCACGCTGTGGGGATCGAACACAATATTAGGTCGTAACTGATCGATGTGCCTTTTCTCTTTCAAATATGATTATCTTACTTTGTTTTTGATTTTTTTTTTTTTTTGGAAAGATACGTTTATTGGTTGAAAGAATCAATCGAAAGATATTTCTTGCCATTAGCCTTTCTCGTAGGACCATATATATTGCAGTAATCTGGCTAAAGTCTTACCATTATGTGGGGTGTATTTCTGCGGCAAACTCTATTTGCCTCCGCAGCAGCTTACAAGTACATGGTGCCGTTTTCCTTTCGAAATATATCTTTCCAAGACAGAGAAAGAAACTCCAGCTCGAAGTCCCCAATTTTGGAAAACCCAAGATTAGCTGTTTCCCGTTTATGGAAGATGTTCTTGCCTGGAATATAGATAATCCAGCCCACCTGAATCTGGGTTCTTAAACATGGCTTCTCCGGATACACGAGTATCTCCATAGATATAAGACCCTTGTTTTTATTTCTACTTATACACTGCTTTTGAGGTATATATATATATATATATATATATATATATATATATATATATATATATATATATATATAGTCATATTGCAAACTTTTTCCTCACGAGTTTAAGAAGAAAATTCGGATTACTAACACAAAAAAGAGAATGTCTCATATCGAGAATATTTAACATCGAAAAAACATAAAGGAGAAAAAAATTAATTATTTTTAATAATGTGTGGAAATCTCCGCCTTTTACCTGATGACGGTTGCGAGACCAGAAACACGTGTAGTAAAATTATGTAAAATAAAGCATAATATTTTATTTAAAAAAAATCCACATTACAGCCAAAAACTCTCATCTTTTTAATATACACACTTTTCTCTTGTTGGAATAATTATAACTGCTTTATATTTATATATATATATATATATATATATATATATATATATTCATGAATTATTCATACAAAAACAAATACAAAGGTTAATGATTTAATTGGCGAGAAATCCATCGTCGCGAACAATTCAAATAATATACAAAACCCCGAACCTGTTTATGAATGAAAAGATCCTTGTTTTCATAAATTTCTGTTGCATATGTTCTTTTTTACAAGCTGTCGTCTGTTCTTACAGACATCCTCAGGTATGGAATAGATTTCAGTAATAAGAGGACAACGAAAATATATGTATTGTTGTAATCCGAAAAATGCTATTAGAAATGAGTTATTGTTTTTGGAGCGTGCAGTCGCAACACTGAGTTTGAATTTAAATTTTACAATTGTGCGTTCTTGTACAAATATGGTGATAAGTGAATTCTTTTTTACTGACAGAAAATTTACCAGTAAAAAAGAATTGTAAATTAATTGCATTTTTATTTTATTATATATATATATATATATATATATATATATATATATATATATATATAGCTGCACTGAGAAGTAACCATCAGTCTACTACGTGAAATGAGAAAGCAAAATAACATATCTAACACTATTCCCTGATGCAGTACATTCGCCTGTACTGTTTGTGGTCTTTATGAAATTCTCGAGCCATGTCATAGGTATCCAGATAATTAGTTCGTGGTCGTCGGATCCTCATACGTCGAACTCGACGGGAGAATTAATCATATATATATATATATATATATATATATATATATATATATATATATATATATATATATTTTATTAAAAGACATTTTATATTTAACGTTCTTTTTTAATAGATACAAGTATTTAAGTAAATGCTATGTTTATAAAACAGTATTGGATAACATTTACGTGCCTGAATACCAATCGGAAATTTTAAATGACGGTTTCGTATCCTTTGACAGGTTCGAACCTTGCATCAAAGGACGAATATCTTTTACGCTGAAAATGCCTTACCAATCGGCCTGGTAAACGGTTCCGTTTAATACTGTTTATTATAAACAGAGCATTTATTTTAAATACTTGTATCTATAAAAAGAACGTTAAAACATAAAAATGTCTTTTAATAAAATAAATTGTCGGACTTTGTCCTTTTCTTTATATATATATATATATATATATATATATATATATATATATATATATATATATATATATATATTATTCACCGTGGGATAAGTGTACATATGTATATATGGCTTTGTGTATGTTTTAGTAGTGTAAAGTCTTTCTTTGAACAAAGCATGTTTGTCATTCTTTTTCCTTTCAGGTATTTCATGAACTACGATGTTATGATATCATGGATATTATAATGACCATAACGAAAATACAAATGCGGGGAATAAATCCTCTCTCCCGTTCAGTCAGTTATTTTTCATGCCTGATACACGCTTAAGGGATCATATATCTTTCGACACATGACTTACGAAGCAATTTTTTTCCCGCAGTAGGTTGCCATTTCTTTCTGCGGTAGACCAGTTGCCATCCAAGGCATAGAACCCGGTCTGTCCTGCAATTTACACATAGCTCGGTGGAAAAAGAAGAGGATTCATACCTTTCCCAAGGGTATTAGAACGTCAGTGAATATAATGAATTCGACTATCCATTACTCCAACATGCCTCCATACATATATATATATATATATATATATATATATATATATATATATATATATATATATATATATATATATATATATATATATTATTTTTTATTTTAAAAATGATGCCCATAGCGAAAATACAGATAAATTCTTCTTCCTGGCTCTCCCCGTTCAGTCGGTAATGTGTAATGCGTGATATTTCGAGACATGACTGATGCAAAAGATTGCCATTTCTTTCTACGGTAGACCAGTTGCTATCCAAGGCTGTAGAACCCGGTTTGTCCTGCTATAGCTTGGTGTGGTCAAAAGACGAGGATTCATATCTTTCCCAAGGGTATTATTAGCATGGAAGTGAATGTAATGGATCTGAATGGAATTCGAACTCGGCTCTCCGATTTCTCAGTCCGAGACGCTATTCATTCATTACTCCACTGTGCATATCCTTTAATAACGACGATGTTCACTTACTGACCAAATCCGGACTTATAATCTCTTTATTCATAATTCTAACAGAATAATCCTCATGCTATTATGTTTATAGAAAGACGGTGATTCATTTTAAGATAAGGCGAAATAAAGACACAGATCAGTTAATACTTCTATAGAAAAAAAAAACGATTGAATAATATATATGCCCTTTGAACCCGTATAAACGGGTTCTGGGTCGGTTTACCTCCGCGAAAGAGACTCCGCCCTTCGGCGTAGCCTCGTTCGGGTTCCTCCCCGCCCGAAGGCAAAGAGTTCAACCGATCAGCCGGTCGCCCGACTTCTGACTAAACAGTATTTAGTCAACCCCCCCACGAGGGCAACATGTGACACAAGGCCGTTTTAACGTGTGATCTCCGAGCCCGTGGCATCTGCGAGCCCGTGGGCTCCGCCAAAAATATGCCCTTTGAACCTGTATAAACGGGTTCAGGGTCGGTTTACCTCCCCGAAAGAGACTCCGCCCTTCGGCGTAGCCTCGTTCGGGTTCCTCCCCGCCGGAAGGCAGAGAGTTCAACCGATCAGCCGATCAGCCTTTTCTTTATCTTTTTCCAGTTATTTTGCAGATAATTTAATAATAATATTTCTTTTTTAGCTGTTTCTTTCTGGCATCCTAATTTAATTTTATCGATTTGTCTAGCCACCTCCATAAATATTTTTTTGCATTTTTTTTAAATAGTTTTCTTTGCGTATTTATCAACTTTGATTTCGATCTGTGTAATCAATCATTTTTCAGGTAATTCCCTCGTTTCAGCTTAATTTTGAATATGAAGAGACAACTGCATAAGTAGGTAAGTAAAATAAATAAGTTTTTCGCAAACAAAAAAACAATGGTAGGAAATCGATTTTAACTGTTACAAAATACAGTTTGGGGTCAAAGTTTTCCTTCGCAAATTCATTTGTCAAATGAGCCGGAAGAAACGATCTTAACTTCCGGATCGTAAATTCTTATTCAAAAACTAGTCTTATTATACAACCCTGTGATATTGTTATATTTGTAGGCAAAATCAATGAAAAGTTAATTCTTACTGTTCTCTGTTTTATATCGGTCAACATTTCAAGTTTTTTATATTCTTTTTGAGCGTTTTTTCAGTAAATATATCAGTATATATCATAGAATTTTATAAATAAATCGTATAATAATAACCGTTTATACTCGCGTATATATCGAGTCTTTATTATAAGTTAATTTCACGCCAACCGTAACCAGTGTAAACAGGTAATTTCTTTTCTAGCGGGATTAAGATCCATGCCAAAATTTCATGAATCGCGCTTTCCATGAAGTCGGTTTATACACGACTATTTT